ACCAAGAGGCTTCCAGCTGATTTTTTAAATTTCATCTTCAGTGTTTGCCAGCAATGCTGGACAAAAATTTCTAAAGTCAGCATAGGTTCTTTAAAACGTTAGTGTGACAGGGTCTTTAAAAAACAGAATAGAGTTACCAGTCAGTGGCCTTTGTAGCAAAATGCTTTTTTCTGTTAAAATCTTGTCACGTCTGGGGAGCATAGTAGCTCATCACAAAAATAAGTGTCATGGTACTCTGTTCCTCTACCCAGGACTGAATTTCTTTTGTTTTAAACTGTAAAACATTCAGAAGCTGTTTATATTTGTTAGATTACTTAGTTATACACATGAGTCAAAATTATAACAAGTACTGTCTTATGTATGCAGGCCCTCTTATAAACAAGAAAAATTAGAAAGTAAAGCAAAGAAATAAGCTGCGCTTTTTTTTTTCTTCAAACTTGTGATTTTTACCTGCTGAAAGAAGAGATTTCCCAGTACATGAGAAGGCCTCAGTGCCAATAACGAAGTCTATTATGGTTTGAAGGTACTTGCAATCTTGACTGACAGTGGCAATAAAGTGCCGTGTGATGTACTCATACAACCTCCAGCCATCACTTCCTGCAAAAGGAAGACTTTTGTGAGAGACTGAAATAAATCAAACCAGGGCTGTACATTAATTTGTTTAGCTCATAGCACCTGTGCTACAGAGGTTGCAGGTTTCGTAGCACAGAACAATAAGTTGTAGCACCAGCATAAAATGTCTGTTCCAATCTCTAAAACCAAAAGCCTGAATGGTGAATAATATGGTAAATATTGTTTTAGGACAGGAGTCACCAACCTTTAACACAAAGAGCTACTTGTTTGATAAAATGACTTACACAGCTCACCTTCAATTATAWTAGTAAGAAATTTACATATATGTAAATATTTAACTACCTGGTTACAAATTATTGTTAATGACTCCTCATGATAGTCATCAATGATAATTTACTATGATAAATTATTATTAATACTGTAAGTGATCAGAACTCTGGATCTTAGTCCAGAGTTCTCAGTTTGAATCTTTTTTGAAGTACACAAAACCACTAAATAGATGAACAGCACATAACGTGTTCATTTTCCCCAACAGTTCAGAAATCACTAAGCAAACGCTCTCTTACCGCACTCGTGTGTGCTTTCAGAGAACAGGATGGAATTAAGAGAGGCGTGGATAAAAACTCAGCTGCTCTGATTCAAGTTACTCCAGTCTGCAGCAGGAGCTGCAGAATAACGCTTGACTCTTTATTATGTTGCAGATCAAAATACATCCAAGAACATCTTTTTAGGATTATCTGACTCTTCAGCGTTTCCCCTACCATTACTC